AGCCATGCGAACATTCACGTATATTATACAATAAACATATTGAATATAAAATCATTCTAACTTTATTTTTCATCTGTATTTAACCCACTAAAACAGCTATGTCCTTGCCACAAAACTAATAATCCATCTTCAAAACCTACAATTTCTTTCCATTCGGTGCGGTCGGACCTGAACGTCTTTATAATCACGTGTAAATTCCAACAAAGACAATGTTTGCACTTTTTAAATCACATTTTATTTATTGTGCAAAAATAAAACATCCAAACAGCATCATAACCAATAAAAACACACAGCAAAGAAAATGTATTTTAAAATAGTGAATATATATACATACAATGTATGAAGATTTTTTTATATCCCCTTAATATGCTCTGCTGTTGCTGCATCAATTTCTCTCTGTAACGTCTGGATTGCAATTTACACTGCAATGTTCACAATTTATTATTATGGGGGGAAATCCAAACAGTATTATAATGTTTTAAAGCAAAAATGTTAAGAACAATTATTTACAAACAGTGAAAATAAAGTGTGTGTATATACATATATATACATACAGTTGAAGTCAGAATTATTAGCTCCCCTGTTTATTTTTTCCCCAATTTCTGTTTAATGGAGGGAAGATTGTTTCAGCACATTTCTAAGCATAATAGTTTTAATAACTCATTTCTAATAACTTCTTTATTTTATCTTTGCCATGATGACAGTAAATAATATTTTACTTGATATTTTTCAAGACACTTCTATACAGCTTAAAGTGACATTTAAAGGCTTAACTAGGTTAATAAGGTGAACTAGGCAGGTTAGGGTAATCAGGCAAGTTATTGTATAACGATGGTTTGTTCTGTAGACTATCAAAAAAAAATTGCTTAAAGGGGCAAATAATTGTGTCCCAAAAATAGTTTTTAAATAATTAATAACTGCTTTTATTCTAGCCGAAATAAAACAAATAAGACTTTCTCAAGAAGAAAAAATATTATCAGACATACAGTGAAAATTTCCTTGCACAGTTAAACAAAATTTGGGAAATATTAAAAAAGGGGAAAAAAAATCAAAAGGGGGTTAATAATTCTGACTTCAACTGTATATATGTATGTATATATATATACATACATATATACATATATACATATATAACACATACACACATTTATGGTTAGGGTTATAAGGATTATTTCTTAATCCCCCTTTTATGTTAGCAAAAACATAAGTTTACTTCAGATATTTCTTTCAAAACAATATTCTGTGCCGCAAAAGAGCCTTCTCCTCACTTGTGATAATGACAATGAAAGCCAAGCTTTTGGCCTATGCTGTACCAAAAAAAAAATAAAATCACCCAGGTGATGACAACTAAATATTACGATTATAACATTGTGTTAGTGGCCAGTGGGGTGGAACAACGTCATTGGTCAGAATTAACCACGTGATGAAGACGTCCTATAATATTGTATTTAATGCGATTTTCTTCCTGTAAACTGTATATAACTATATAACTATAACTATGTATATAATGCTGCAAATTACTGTAAATTGACTGTACTCTATATTAACTGCAAAACTGATAAGACTGATTAAATAATAGACAAATTAACTAAATGCATGTGCTATTGTTTCATTAGTATTTTAATTTAATATTTTTCTTTATATGATATTTATTATAATGTAATTTTGTTCAGATTATAATATATACTATAAATACTAACTATACTATAGTGATCTGCATTAAACAACCTGAACAAATCAGTCCTCTCTCTCTCTCTCTCTCTCTCTCTCTCTCTCTCTCTCTCTCTCTCTCTCTCTCTCTCTCTCTCTCTCTCTCTCTCTCTCTCTCGATTTGATCAAAAATGTAAATGAGGCCTTCCGATTAACAGTCCAGTGGACCCTAGCAACAGCCTAGAAACCACTCAGAACACCCTAGCAACTACCTAGGAATGCCTTAGCAACATCTTAGCAACCGCCTAGCAACCACTTATCAACCGCTGTGCTTCCTGCCAACTGCCTTTGAGTCCCCGGCGCAGTCACGTTGGCTTTCTCAAGCCAACATCAAAGTTCGTCAACGAACTTTAGGTTCTAGTTTAGATTGATGTCTTGATACATTTTTCTAATCTTGTGTGAAAAGTTATTATAATCAACATTTTTATTTCTCATTTTATTTATTATATTTATCTTTTTTATACCAAATTCCAAATATAATTCAACAAAATGGCTTTTCTTATGATACATTTGTCTGATTAATTTACAACCCCAAATTAGAAAGTCAAAAGCTAGGACAGTAAGGAAAACGCAAATTAAAAAAGAAAGTTGTGATTTCTAAATTTACTTTGACTTGTATTTCATTGCAGACAATATCTGCCAATAGATATGGAAGAAAAATTATTAAAATGTTTAAAAAACAATGGTTCTCAATGAAAGATAGGACTACATTTAAATATATCACCGTAAGTAGTGCATAACAATTAAAAGATTCAAGAAGTCTGGAGGAATTTCACTGCGTAAAGAACAGTGGCGCAACCCTTAATTGAACAACTGTGATCTCTGATTCCTCAGGCGGCACTGCATCAAGAATCCTCATTCATCTGTAAGCGATATCACAACATAGACTCAGGACTACTTTGGCAAACCATTGTCAAGTACCACAATATATAGTTTCATTCACAAATGCCTGTTAAAACTGCACTGTGCCAAAAAGAAGCCCTATGTTAACAGTGTTTAATTGCACTGTTGAATTCTCTGGGCTCGGATGCATCTGGGATGAACCAACACACAGTGAAAATGTGTACTGTGGCTAGATGAATCAGTACAGTATTGCGATTGGAGCACAATATACTACCTTCTTTTCCAGAGACGCCCATACAAATTTCAACAAGACAATGCAAAACCACATTCTGCACACATTACAAAGTCCTGGCTGTGGAGAAAGAGGATAGAGATACTTGACTGGCCTGCCTGGAGTCCCAACCTGTCTCCAATAGAGAATTTGTGGCCCATTTTGAAGTACAAAATTCGACAACAAAGACCCTATTTATACCCTATACTGTTGCCCACCTAAAGGTTTTTTGCAGGAAAAAGGGACAAAAATACACCTGAAACACTTTGTCTTCAATCCCTAAATATCTTTTAAGTGTTGTGAAAAAGAATGGCAACATTACAAAGTGGTAAATGCTTTACTGTTCCAACTTTTTTTTAAAGTTGGCAAAAACCAAAATTGGGATATGTGTTTATATACAAAAAATAATTTAAAAAATCACGAGGAACACATTAAATAATGTGCTGTCATATTAGCTTTTTATATGCGTTTTACATACTGTACCAACTCTTTTTTTTCATACATACAATAGGGATGAACATATTTTAAGATTGTCATTCATCATTGTCAAAATTATTATTATTATCGATGGATGAATGTCTACTACTACTACTACTACTAATAATAATAATAATAATATTTATAATAATAATAATAATAATCACGAGGTCCGTTTTGCAACTGCTATTATTATTATATTATTATTATTATTATTATTATTATTATTATTACTGCGTAATATCTGACATATGCATATTGATATAAACTATAAAATTTTTTTAATTGGATTCACATTCCCATAATATGAAAACAATGCGATGTAAAACATTTTAGTATGCGTTATATTACCAAAATGAAACAATAACATGATCCATTTATCGTTAACTGAACATTTTATCAGAGTTCAGAGGAACATATTAAATGACTCTATATTACCTATACTATTATTTTCTACACCTAAACACACTGCAGACAATTTCTTCCGCACATGCACGTATTGCATATACTGTAAAGCTCCATTTTTTTGTTAATAATCAGATTCACATTCACATATAGGTACAGTAATCTGAAAACACTGTGAGGTAAATAACCTTGGACTGGATTATATAATTCTAAATTAAATAAATGCTGAATGCAATAAAATAACAATATCTTTACATTTAAATATGACCAATTATTCATTTGCCTATATTGCTTTTATGAATTTAATTAACAAATTGTTTCACGGTTAATATGTAAACTTGGTATCTAAATATGTTTGGGTTTAAGTAAAGTACTATTGAATTGTGCTATAGCAATGGGTACACTTTATTACAATGCATATGATTTGTTTTAGTGTACAGCCTATATTCATTCATTCATTTTCGGCTTACTCCCTTTATTAAGCCGGGGTCACCACAGCGGAATGAACTGCCAAGTTATCCAGCACGTTTTTACGCAGCAGATGCCCTTCCAGCCGTAACCCATCTTCGGGAATACAGCCTATATATAAAAGCCTATATGTTTTTCTATCTTTGTTCCCTTTTTTTAGCTACACTTGTCTCCTACCAGCTTGCATCACCCACTGAAACTGTACACCTGTATGGAAAGTTGCAGCACAGCGTATTTTGCCCACACAAAATTACAAGGTTTGCTCAACCATGAAAAAGTGCATCATCGCCTTCAGCGCGTGGTTTTGATGTTCCTAATTTAAACAGTCTAACTCGTGTGCTCTTGCCCAAAAGCCCTAAAGGCAAACACACAAGTGTCATCATAAACTGTATGCAAATGTCACTCTATAATACTGTTTAAACTCACGTCACAACATAAAAAACACGGGTAACCCCAACGACCACGTGCCGGTGGGAAAAGAGGGGAGAGCGCGTCAGCACCCATATATGGAATGTCGGCTGTGGTCAGCAAGCCATATATGGTGCTTCCTTGCGTGACGTTGGTTCCTTATGTGGAAAACGAAGGCGTGGCTGTGTGAGAGGAGACGCGATACAAATACTGTTACCAACCCCGCCTGTACTGTAGAATCACATCTGCTCACCAATAAAAGACTTTAAAACTAAGCTTTGAAAGAAATACAGAGGATTAAAGATTAAACAACTCGCTGTTCATTTTAAAGTAACATTAAACATAACAGGAACAATATTGATTTGTGTCACCTGTATTTGTTGTTTATAGTTGTAAAATATAAAACGCTTTCATACATTCTGAACGCGCTGCTGTTGATGCTGTGAAGGTTATTCGTTTCAACTCACGGCTGTTTGTTTGTCTGGAGAGGGCATCATGGGTATCGGCGACCCTCTCGAGATCTCAGGCAGTGAGTTGGTTCAGATTTTGCGGACTCCCTCGGAGCTCTTCGCATCCGGCGGCTGCATCGTGCTGGACTGCCGGCCATTCCTCGGTTTCTCCCGCGCGCACATCCTCGAGTCCCGCAACGTCAACTGGAACTCCATGCTGAGGCGCAGGTCCAAGAGCTCCGTGGTGTCCCTGGAGTGGCTGGTGGCGGATAAGTCTCTCCTGGCCCAGCTGAGGAACGGGGACTTTTCTCCAGTGGTGGTCTTGGATGAGAACAGCCGGTCGGTGAGGGACCTGAAGAGCGAGAGTTTGGCCAGTCTCCTCATCAGCGCCCTTCAGTCTGAAGTCCAGTCCGCCTCGACGCACATCTGCTTCTTACAAGGTAAACTTCAGCTTTACACAACTGCTGTCATTTAGGTATAAACTATTATATTATATTATATTATATTATATTATATTATATTATATTATATTATATTATATTATATTATATTATTAATTAAACGACTCACAAAATGTCAATTAAAATAGCCATAATGACTTAACATCAATCAGTTTTCTTACACCAACGAATGTAATTAAATAAAGCATTTCTCCTTATTGTGAGCATTTTTTCACCTTTAATTTTATTACATTGGGTATTAATAGATTAGAAATAAATTTGTATTACTATTAGGTAAATAGACAGATAACAACTTGCAGATATTTGACGGTTATACAGAGCAGAAATAATTTGTTTATGGCAAATGTAATCTAATCTAAATCACACGGAAGTCTTCTTTTAGTTTGTCAAAGACAGATATATTATATAGTATATTATAATATTAATACTTATATATTTATTATAGAAATGACATAAAACAAGAATAACACAGCGACACATTAAATAGCTTATGTATTAAAATAAACTGTCTTTTGTAATAAATTTACAATTGCTATTTGTTTTAGTTTGTTTTGTTTATGTTACATTAAAATCGTATCATAAAATGGCAGCTTGAAGAAGTGGGGGAGGGGTAGTTTTAAATGAAAGAAATATCTACTTAATATGACTTGTTTTTTATATTAAATGCTTAAATTGTTCTAAAATATATTTCTATATGTATCTACAGATGTTAATTTTTTCAGCTGGTGTCATTGGTTATTTCAGGTTTAAACTACGATTTTTTAGATACTAAATGACACTGCCCACTAACAAATGTAATAAAATAAAAAACATTTCTTTGTAATGTGACAATGTTTTTGCCTTTTCTTTTTTATTAGATAGCCTTGGTAAATAGACATATAGAAGACGATATTTGATATTTCTGCACTGTATTTATTTACATTATTGTTATTATATTATCTAAATCCTTTGGTAATAGTTAAATGTAAATGAATCTGAATCACCTGGAAGAATATCGTCTACAATAGTTTATAAATGACAGACATTTTATATAGTATATTATTATATTAATATTACAATACATTTACCATATATACATTTTCACCAAAGTAAAAAAAAAATACATAAACAAAACAAGAACAATACAGTGATAAATTTAAATAACAGTTTATACATAAAAAATCTTTCTTTTGTCATATATTTCTAGTATTTTTTATTATGTTTTTTGTTGTTACTTTCATTTTAATTTGTATCATAAAATTTCAGCTAGAGTTTCAGATAGAAATGATGGGAAAGGGGTATAAATTAAATACAAACGTATCCTTTTTTTGCATTAAACAAATACTTAATCTTAAATTGAAAATTTTATAGTTTATATTTCTATATGTATTATAAAGAATAAAGTGTAGTGAATCAGAACAATACATATATGTGTGTATGTAAAAAATACACATTGGGTATACATTGGGTGTACTGTAATTTTTATTATTATTCATTTAATTATTTAGTTATTTATTTCAGTGTAAAAAAAAAATAACTGAACACAAACACACATCTTTCAAATGTCCTTCTCAGATTGTCAAACTGCACAAAATCACAACATTCATTTTTTTTCCTCCATCTGCAGGTGGATTTGATGGATTCTTTGCACTTTATCCTGAGCTCTGCTTTACCGCCCCTGCTGTCCTGTGCTCAAATCACTCTACTCTCAGTGAGCCAGAGCCCGTCATGTCCGGAAGAAAGACTCCACTCTATGATCAGGTTTGCAGAAATCTTAAAATCACAAATACATCAATCAATTACCATTTATTTTTCATTATCTTTATCAAACACTTCCATTGATTGTTTTGCTCTTTTCATTTACTAGGGTGGTCCAGTTGAAATCCTCCCCTTTCTTTTCCTGGGCAGTGCTCATCACTCGTCCCGACGGGAGACTCTAGAGCGAAATGGGATCACAGCAGTCCTCAATGTCTCCTCATCCTGTCCAAATCTGTTTGAGGAAGAGCTTCAATACAAAACCCTGAAGGTTGAGGACAGTCTGGCCGCAGACATACGTGTGCTCTTTCCTGAAGCCATCCACTTCATTGGTAAGTTCTTAATGAATAAACAGTCGCATAACTCACATATAAATCAACAATTGATCCAGAAAAGCTAACTCCCATCTTCGATGCATCTGCAGATTCGATAAAAGAGGGTGGTGGTCGAGTGCTGGTCCACTGTCAAGCAGGAATCTCTCGCTCCGCCACTATCTGTCTGGCGTACCTCATTCACGCTCAACGGGTCCGTCTGGACGAGGCCTTCGACTTTGTAAAACGCAGACGACAAGTCATCTCACCCAATCTCGCATTCATGGGCCAGCTTTTGCAATTCGAGACGGATGTTTTGTGCCCATATTCAGTACTAGAAAGAGAAAGCAGTGGTACTGCGTTTTAGAACACTTGAACTGACCTGTAGGTTTTGACCGGACACTGTGACAGATCTACAAAGGTGCTTTTTGAGAATGCCAATGGTGTACAGCAAGACTTCTCTGGATCGCATTAAATATGGCATCTCACTCTTTAAAAAAAAACATGGTAAAGAAACCAGTCCAATCTCACAAGGAAATGTAACTATATTATGTGTTGTCAATTCATAAGAATTCATGACTTCATTTGTATGAAAATGTAAGATTTTAAAAGGAGACGTGTCCCCGAACCTCTACCCTAAACTTAACCATCAATGGGGATGAGCAATTGTACTAAAATGTACGAATCAGATCGTACAAACTAATACAAAATCCAAATATTATGAATTGGCGTAAGATTGCGTTGGGTAAAACTCAACTTGTTTAGGGAAGTCAAGCATCAACTGACCTATATTTGATTGTTTATGGTAAAACAGACTAAAACGAAATGCCTTTCTGTGTTTCCGATCAACAACGGCGTCGATGACACACCGCACCACCCAATAGCCCTTATGGAAAATGTCAATGTCACGGTAACACCGTGTGCTTGACTACTAACTGTGATCTTTAATAACTTGAGATGCTGACGAAAGCGAGAAACTACTTCTGTCCTGCCACGTCGTTTCCATTCAGATTTCAGCAGTGGTTTGTGTTTATGTCAGTGTGTACGTCTGTTCATCTTGATGTCCTGAGTCGTGTTGCATCAGTCAATGTTCCGTGTGACTGATGCTGTGACCATATAAGGCTGTGACGTGTGGTTAGTCTTCTGTGTGGTAAATGTCAAGTTTTTCCATGAAGTTACTGTCTAATTGTCAGTCTCAAAACGAGCTTTAAAGGGCAAAGACCTGATAAACTGTGATCTTGGGTCATTTTAAAAGTCTGTTGAGTCGAGTGGCGATGGATTGCGAGCGCTAAAGACATTTTTTTGTGTATTTTATTTTTGTTTTGTGAATATTTATTTATCATTGAAGCAATGCACTTTAAATTATTGTTTTGATAAGATTTTTGTAAGCTATGCGGTTCACATATTTCAACGTGTAAATAAAATGATGGATTAATTTGTTTAATTTGGAACTGAGTGTCATTTTTTTGTTAATATTTATGATTAAATTATGTTTTAATTCATTGTTTACTGGCAAATTACAGCCCCTGCATCTTTGTAGTTAGCGCTATGTATGAAATATTATGACTAAATAGTAAGAAATAGCTAAACAAATAATAGAAATCTTTCTAGATAAATATATTTATATAGAGAGAAATATATAAACTATTTGCAGCTATAAAAATTGGACATTATATTTTTGATAGAATAAAAGCTGTGTATTCTCACCAATAATAGACACATTTACTGTCTTAACATATTCAAAATATACATATGAATGAATTACAGTTTAAATTGAATACTTAAAATGGATTTCATTATCATTACTACAATCTTCAGTGTGTATAAATATATAAATCTTCTGTAATACATTTATATATACTAGTTTTTTAGTATGTTTTGTTTTTGTTACTTCCATTTAATTTGTAATCTAAAATGGCAAAGTTTCATATAGAAAAAATAGGGAAGGGGTAGTTTTAAATGTCTTTTTTCCCATTGAATAAATAAATAAGCTTGAAATGTTATGTTTTATATTTCTTTATGTACTATAAAGAATAAAGTGTAGTAAGTCAGAACAATACATACATGTGTATATACAAAATACACAGCTTGGGTCTATGTACTGTAATTATTATTATTACTATTCTTAATTTCTATAAGTGTAAAAAATAACTGAACATACACACATTTTTCAAATGTCCCCTTTTTTGTCAAACTGCACAAAATATTAAATAGTAAGAAATAGCTAAATATATAATATAAATATTTCTGGATAAAAAAACCAAAAAACATATATATATATATACTGTCTTAACATATTCAGAAAATATATATAAAAGAATAACAATTTAAACTGAATACTTAAAATGGACTCATAAGGAGTCATAACAGCAGTCTTCAGTGTCAAAAGATCTTTCCGAAATTATTTATTATATTAATGTGTGCTTGTGTGTAAGTAAAACTGCTACATTGTAGTACAGTTTAATAGGTAACATACAGTTTAAAACTTCAATATTGTTAATTGTAAGAATATTGATAACAATAATTTGAATTTAGCTATTTATTTATTTTAATAATCCTTAGGAGTTGCAATTAAGTTGCAAGTTGCAAGAACCTTATTTTCACATTGTCACACATTAATTTTTGATCATAATAAATATTTTCTGAAAGATCTTGTGATTAAAGACTGTAGTTATGGCTCCCTATAAGCCTATTTTAAGTGTTTAATTTAAACTGTAATTCTTTTATATGTGCACCTTACTTACAATATCAGCGCGCCATCTGGTGACTATTCACAATAAAATACATCCATCCTTCCTGTCAAGCATTCATGCAAGAGACCACTAAGTGGCAGTGTTACACCATACAAACAAGACCCTCTTACTGGCCACCTTAATAATTACACCTCGCTACTATCAGCTTGGTTTTTATTCCTCATGGTCTCCGAGTAGTAGAAGACATTCCTCAGAGATTCTGGTCTGCAATGACATGACACCATCACACATTTTCTGTAGATTTATCAGCTGAACCTTCATGATGTAAATCTCCAGTTGCACCAGATCACAAACAGTACTCTAAAGCAGGGGTGTTCAAATTCGGTCCTGGAGTGCCAGTGTCCAGCAAAGTTTAGTTACAACCACAGTCTGACACACCCCGGCTAGCCAATCAAGCTCTTACTAGGCTTACTAGAAACATCCTTGCAGGTGTGTTGAGGTAAGTTGGAGCTAAAATCTGCAGGACACTGGCCCTGCAGGACTGAGTTTGGACACTCTGATCTAATGGATTAAGATTTGGTGACTGTGGAGGTCATTCTAGTGCAGTGAACTCATTATTCACTTTCTAAAAACAGTTTGAGAGAATTTGAGCTTTGGCACATTATCCTGCTGGAGTTAGCTATCACAACATGAGCCCTTAACTGTGGACATAAACAGATGGACATGGTCTGCAACAATACAAACACGTTGTGATGTGTAAATTATGCACACTAGGTATTATAAAGCCTAAAGTGTGCCAAGAAAATATCCCACACAAACTCACCGCCAGCTGCTTGAACTATTGATACAGTACAAAGAAAGATATCCTTGCTTTCAGTGTTTATTTTGAACCCGCCATCATAAAGCTGCATCAGAAGTCGAAACTCATCGGCCCAGCCAATCTTTTCTCAAACTTGTCGATTTTTAATAAACTTGTGTGAATTGTAGATTCCTTTTTGAGTCTGACAAGAGGGTAAGCGGTGTGCTCTTCTTCTGCTGCTATAGCTCATCTGCTTCAAAGTTTGATGTGTTGGTTTTCAAAAAAAATTAATAAAAAATTTTTTATATATATATATATAAAAAATCTAAAAAAATAAATAAATAACTGAGATGAGATGTCTTTCTATCAACTGAAGCAGTCTGGTCATTTTACTCTGACATCTGTCATGCAAATCCCAGCAGATCTGCTGTTTCTGAAAACCTCTATCATCCCATGTAACAATAATAATACTAATAATAAGCACATGTTTTAAGTACATTATAGATAAATAAATAATTACCAGCAATATTTCAAATATTAATGATTGAATTGTAAATGTTTGCTTCATTGTTCTGTACTTGTATAACAATATGGTTCACTTGATTCATTTTTTGTACTTCAGAACTTCCATTAAGGTAATGGCTGTATACAACATCACCTCCATACCCTTAAAGAGACAGTTCACTAGTTAACTATCACATGGTCTGAGCAAGAAGATGAAAATCTATTAACCAGCTAAGCACAGACAAAATGGTATCCCTTATTGATACACTTGTTTTTAATCACTTCTTTAAGTGGACTATAGTAGTCGACTAATGTATGGAATACTGGATGAGGGTATAGAGGGCGATTTTGGATACAAATATAATGATCATCGATGCTCCCTGATTGTCACGCTTTTTCGTTTAGTAAACTTAGAAAACGACTGCATTTGAGACAGCCCTCAAAATAGTTAAGTACCTGATCAGTGCCCTGACTACTGAACAAGAGAATTGATTAAGACGCTCCCTAGAATTTCTACATGCCGGTTGCTGCCATATTACCAGCTGATGGCAGTTATGTTAACGAGCAGTTGAACAGGTGACCTAATGCCTGTTGAGCATAACCTGAGTGAAGAGACACAGGTCTTCAACTACTGTATAACAGTATTATCATTAATCTTATTATTTGCTTCCTAAATGATTACTGAATATGTTGAAGGTGGACAGACACCAAGGAAGAAAGTTCAGCAGAAACACAAGCCACAGCTTTGAAGAGTTGTGTGTGTGATTCATCGGCAATTAGCTTGTGAGGTGATTGTGCTACAGAAGGTCACTGCTGCCTAAAGCCATCAACATCTACAACTCTTTCATTGTGAGCAAGGCATGGAAAACACAGATTTTATTTTAAGATTTCTGCCCAACATGGATGGAAGTTCTGAACACTTAAGGTGAAAAATAGACTGCGGTCGCCCATGTGAGGCTGATCCTGTGATGCCAAGAGTGGTTTGGTCAGGCTTTAACTCTCACACGCATCTCTATTAAAACTGAGAAGGATTCTATCAGGATGTCTGGCAAACATTTTATACTTCTTAGCTTACTGTAGCAGTTTTGAATCGAATTTTTAATAGTATCCGGTCGTTTATCGTTTCAGTGCTATTGAGCCTCTCTATATTTCTAAATTACATATTAATATTTATGCTGCTAGAGCTCTTACATGGCGACTGAAACCATTAACCGTCTCATATACAAACTTTTCATTTGAGACTACTGATGGCAGTAATTTATTTTTTGCCTCTTTCAACGCTGAATACCTAAACGAATAATTTAAATAATGCTTACGACAGTCTATGGGGAATATTGGCAGTCCCCTCAGCCACAATGCACTTTGTCAGCTAACTGAACTGGAAAATCTGCAAGTTGTCCAGGGTTAATTGTTCTATTTAGCTTGCTCATAACAGCAGAAAAATGATACAGTCACAGCGGGTTTGCTTTTGTTATTGAGAATTGAGGTTGGTTCAAATAACTGCGGCAAATAGCAGCGACATATAATTGCAGATCTGCATGTGACTGCTTTCATTGCCCTCAGATTCCTCAGATTAAAGAGTAGAGGCCCTGACGCGTTTATATTCTCACTTCTTATGGCTGTTAAAAGAACTTTTAAAAACTTTTTTTGCGCATGAAACAGTCTGTTATAAACCTTCAACCCTTAACAGAGTAATTTCATACAATGTTTACTTTAGTGTATTATTTACATTTACGATTAGGGATTTGGCATCAAGCGGCAACAGCCCGCTCTCCCTCAACAACACGGAAGCCAACATAGAAGTAACTGAAACTGCAATTCATCGACTCGCCTTTGGGGGCTGGCTCCAGGATGTCCAGATGTTCACTGACTGCAATGCTGGTCCATTTAATTTTTACAAAGTCTTGTTAAGTGTGCATAATTAATTAAGGGTGTGGCCACTTGAGTGACAGCTAGGTCTCGCTGGTCACTGTCAAATCATTGTTTAGTCACTCAATGTGTTACAACAGTGTTTTTAAAAGACTAAACCCTTTACTGATTTAGTACACAACCAAGCACATGTTGTCAGAACACAAACGGGTCACAGATAATGAAGTATTAAGCATTTTCCCAAAGAAAAGCCTGTCTAAGCAAAATGCTAGCAGGGGTTTGTAGCTCCGCTCGCTCCGACTCTTTGCCCTTGTTTGGTATTCCCCTGCTCGGGGCGAAGATGCATGAACAAAATGGCGACGGTTGACCACACATACTTGTGGCTTCATTTGTGCTCTTCAGAAACCTATGGGTGACGTCATGGATACTACATCCATATCTTTTACAGTCTATATTTTGGCATATGCTTTTGTACAAAGGGACTCACAAATGAATAGTTACCATATCTTATTTAAGCTATTGGCATACTAAAAATTGAATTTCAATAGTATTATATTAGAAAGTACATTTTTAAAGACA